GCAATAATATGATGATGTTGATGACCGTGAAGACAGTGATGACGATCATTCATATCCTCCTTTTTTTCGGAATTTTCGACTTGAGGAAAATTCAAGTTTCATCATTTGGAAAAATAAAAGATTTAGACATGGGCAGTTCCGCAAGTACAGAATAAAGCCGTAAATAGCATAGAAGTATATTGTAATCATAAGTCTGGTTTATTGATTGAATTACGATTTGAAAAGAATTGATAGGTAGCCACATCTAATTCAATGATCTAAAGCTCGAGAACTTGGCAGCAATGAAAAGAAATAATCACAAACAAACTGGGGTGAAAAAGGGGTGCAATTTCTTGTCTTGATCATATTTGACGTTCTATGATAAGAAGGGAGGTTAATTTTTATTAATGTATTATTATTCAGCAAACCAAGAAAAGGTGAATTTGGAGGGTGAGCTTTTATCAGGTGAGAGAGATAAAACAATAAATGAATTGCACTTCTCAAGTTTGTGAGTGAAAAAAGACCCATGAAAATAAATAAAACACAGACAACTGAATCATTACGGCTAAATGTTTCCTTTACTTAAAATAAAATATTCTTCTTTACCATTCCAAGGTCAATTTGAACTCAAGAAGGAGTCAGATGACGATGATGGAAAATCAACAGGTAGAAGTAATTAGAGCAAACACAGAGTGTGTCTTAGCTTAAGCGTCAATTAAACACTGGGAAATACATTGCAAAACAAGTCAGCTTTTCGAATATTGAAGAGAGATGATCACTTTTAGAGGATCAATATTTAGTATAGAATAAAGAAGAAATTATTTTACAGCCTAAACCGGCACGATAACCATGCGTTTTACATTTTTCACTTTTCAAACCGATTTGGGTCTTAAATATTTTTACACCTAGGGAAAAAAACTTCGCATATATTAGGAGATGGAGAAAGCAAAAGTTGTAGAAGTCACGAGTATTATTACTATTTACATTTATTGGTATTTTAGTTGGTCAACAGGCCTCCTCAACAACCGCTGTTGGAAGCCTGGACTTTGCTGATAACGGTTTATCAGGTGAGAAAAAAGAAACAAGCATCT